TGAAGTTAGATAAACCGAGACACGCCGATGACGTTAGATAAACCGAGATCGGGTCGCACGCGCTCGGTCAACCTGCACGTTATCTCTCGATCGGCAACCGGTCGCAGTTGAAAACGCGATCTAATATCACAGTCTAATAATGTAAAATACTAGTCGGCATGATAATAACGCGATATCGTCAACTTCAATCGCGGTCGATTTTTAATGACCGCGCGCGCGCGCGACGAGCCCACCGCGATCACTGGTGCGTAAAGTTCGGTCAGTTAGTAAGCGTGACGCGCCGATACTTTAATATAATTTATACAAGAGCCGGTTAATCGAGCCTCCAGTCGCCAGGTTACCGGTAGCATAAACTCGGCGACGATAAATCTCAAATCACTATCCCACAGTCGCACCACCACTATCCTACGATCAATCGAGCGCAGTCATTTATGCTCGCGTGTCAGTTGCGGTTAGATGATGATGATATATCCTACGACAATCGGCGATGTGTGTACACTCGCCGTGTTACTTTGTTTCAGGCGGGTATCACCTGATTACATCGCGAACAGCCCGGCGCCGATCTCGAGACCCAATTTTCTCTAGGATTGCGCTGTCTCGTAAATAATGTTTTTCTTTCCATCGCATACATTAATCCTGGGGGCGATTGTTCAATTACACACGTTTGCACACCTGTAAAATATTTTGTTCGAGACGATACTTGCGCTTGATATACTTACCTGCACTTATTCTTGATATTCGATACTCTATGCTTGTTCGTCGAAATATTAAAATGTTATTAATGCTGTGATATTTGTTAAATATATTTATAGAATTCACGAAATTTTTTAAAGAATAGATTTAGTGTGTGAATTATTTGTAGAATAATTTTTATTCAATACATATGCAACATGTATTTATTCTTGGTATACACGTACTTTGATATTTGTTTTCTGCACGGAGAACAATTTTACCATTGGCAGAATCATCATTGCTATTGCATGTTTGTCGCGATAAAATTGATAAAATTTAGTTAACATAACCAAATCAGCAAATTATCCGTAATGAAAAGCAGTAACCATTTTGTTGGATAGGATAGGAAAATTCTGCCGAGTGAATTTGTCCTTAGGATACATTAATTTGTTGTTAAAACAAAATGATGCTTCTCTACATTCACTAATTGTGATCCTTATAACGATAATTCATAGATTCAGCAAAATATATCTAGCGAGTAGCAATTAGTACACTTAAATCGCTTCGTTGTCCACAGTAATAACCGACAGATTTTGCTGCGACAGTGTAAAATTTACCGCGCCAGCGAAATATTTTTCCCTACCAATGTACAAAATTTGCGTTAATGAAAAGAATAAAAAGTGATAATATTTTCGTATTTGTAATATCATAAATACATGTCTGTCTCGACTTTTCGTTTCGAGTTAATATTTATTATTCAGATAGGGAAGTAAATGTATAGGAACATAATTTTGCACGATACTTACTGAATTTACGAGCGATGCTCGATGTCCCTTGATGCACCGCTGAAAATACGACACCCGGTGCATCAATTACTTCAAGTCCTCACAGGGCCTTCGCTAGAACCAAAATTCTCTCTCTCTCACTTTCTATTTTACACATTTATTTATATATACATATACGGGACATTTATTCATATATACATGTACATCTCGCTTTATCGGGGTCATCGAGTTTCCCTAATCTTTTCCGCGATCCAAGGGCTCGCACAGGCGTGTGATGTCACGCTGCTCTTCCTAATCGACCCCGCTTCCAGCCGGCTGTTTATCGATTACAATGTCACATCCACGTCTCGTCGTTCTCGTTGTCCTAGTCGTCCTCGTTCTCCTCGTAATCGCGACAACACGAACGCGAGCTGCGACGGACAAACAACGGCCGGCCGAATTTCCCTTATTCGGGCGTCCCGACTCTTGCGGCGAGCCGTCGTGGAAAACGGCCGCGATTCCTCTCCCCTCCCCCTCCCCCCCTGATATTAACGAGCGAGCGCGTTACACGCGAAACGGTCCCGCGCGTGTACACGGTTATTCTATTCGCTATCTGTCCGTCTCGCTTGCATGAATAATGAATACGGCGTGGTGGTGTGTCTTACGTAGTTCCCCGGCGCGCACTTTCTCTCCCCGCGTAATAAACGTTTTTCCGCGATACCCAGTGTTTCCTCGGCCACGCGAGGAGGTCGCGTTGCACCGCGCGCACCTCCGGCCGGAATTTCGGCGTTCCCTGGAATACCGAATCGATACGTAGTTCACCTACCGGCGGATCGGCTCGCCCGATCGTCCCCGATCGTCCTCGATCGTCATTACCTCGATGAGACTCGTGACTCCTTCGCCAATTAATTCTCATCGACGATTATGTCGATCGAGCCTGACAGAGTATTTAATTTAATAGCGTACACGTAATTTCCGCCCCGTAATAGTTCTCCCCTACGATATGATGAATTATGCGCGTGATTGATTAATATTACGAACGCGTACGTTTCGTGTGATTGACGCGCGTAATTTTTATCCCCGCGTTTTAGCGTCGCTTTGGACAAACGGACGCGCTTTGTTTCCCCTCTCGAATTCGCTGATGAACGCTAATTCAATTCACTCGGTTAATCGCTCGCTCCTCCAATCGCGCGCGTGCACGCAAGAGCGATGAGAAAACGGAAGGACCTTTCTCGAGCCTGATGCATGTTTTCGTTTTCAGGTGGAAGCGGCGGAACTGGAGTTACATAAGCGTCTCGGTGAGTTACGCACTTCTTTCTTTCGTGACTGCGCGCAGGAGGAAGCGCTTTTCCCTTTTTTTCTACGCAAATGAGGCCCCTTAATAGCGTCGCCGGCCTCCCGACAGCGCGGCATCACGCTCTCTACATGTCGTAGCAATCGCTTTAATCGTCTCATTCGCAAAATTCAATCGCGAGACGATCGATCGAACGCGAAAGGCGGATTTCACTTCGCGGCGAGACGGAGAGAGAGAGGCTGCCGCCGTCTCGTGAAATCCCGCGAATTCGTTCTCGTCTTGGGAAATTCGATGTCGCCGGTGAAAATCGAACGCGTTTCCGCGCGAACGACAGCGGATAATTCAGCGCGAAGGCTCGAGGAAGTCGAGAAGATGTCGGAGTCGGTCGAAAAGTTTGGCTTGTTTCCTTTTTTCTTTTTTTGAGTTATGTTTGACCTTATTGCCTTCGATCCAAATCGATTGTTCAGCGAGTCATTGGCGAAGGATAAGAGACAGACATGGCGATCGCTTGGTTGACGAATATCATTTTCAATGCGATAGATTTGAATTCGACTCGCAAGTCGAGGCAGAATTTGTCATTGACTTAATAATAATACGATCGAATCGAATATAAATGAAAAGTAAATAAACATGAGTATTTAAGATAAAAAAGAAATGAATAAGTAGTATCGTCAAATATAAATAAAAAATTTCGAAGTTTGGCGCGAGACATTAAACATTACATAATTAAGATGGCAGAGTCATAATGTAATACTTAACAAGACAATTATGTTTTTATATTATTTTTTAAATTCCACTTTATATTATCAATTATAGAAATATTATGTATTATATGTTACATATTTATTAACTACGTAAAATTATTTTTACGATTTATATGATAAGCTTCTTTTCTTTTTATGAAATTACAATGCAGTTTTGCATCGATTCTTGTGACAACGTTAGATGTCGCGAGTTTCTCAGCAGTTTTTCCAGATCGTCCCATATTTGCGCCGCGTTAAATCGCACACGGACGGAATGCCATAAACAGGAGAAGCCGAGCATAGTGGTTTCTAATCTGATTCGTGCAGTCACGGCGGGTATAAATGAGAGAGTAAACGGTGTTGCTCGGTGCGCGATTAATCAGCGATCACCGCAAGCTGAACTTCGAGCGGTATTCGAAGGAAAACGATGATATCGACCGTACCGCTTCAAGGCGCCCGCCCACGTGTTTGCGGAACGCCGTTCTATGTAAATGACAGCAATAACGTGTGCTTAAAAATCATTACCGGAACGATTCCAGGAACGCGGAGGCGCGAGCGTTATTGCAGAAACGCCCCCGTATTTTCTAATCGAGTAATAAGAATCGTGAAATAGTTCGAGGGAAGCTTTCTGGAGAAGGAAAGAAAGTTCACTGAATCCTCGCACAAATTACTATAAATCAAATCTAATCCGATTTCCCGGCCTGTTTCTGTAAGAAAATTTCTGCGAGAAACTGACTCGTTCATTTAGCGTTGAAGGTTGACTCTTATTCTTCACGACATGTTTAAATATTGTTTATTCCTGACTCGTTGAAAGTTGATTTCAATTTCCTTTTAAGTTTCAATCTTTTCATTCTTCAAGATCTTTAATCTTCAGAATTTTCATTCTTCAGACTTTCTAATCTTCAAATTCCTTTTCTTGCAATTTTCTTTTATTTCCAAATTATTTAATTATTACTTCTGACTTATATTATTACTCTTGTTTTACTTGCAAATATTTTTTACTTATTGATCTTTTTATTTATCCTATTCATTATTTGAATTGTATTAATTACACGTTTATTATTTCCCAATTATATAATTTCCCGGAGTCTTCCTTCCTTTCATTTCTCCATAATTCGCTCGCTATATTACCACACAGCGGAATGCTATCGCCGTATTTCCCCATCACCCCTCGATTCCAGCAACTGTTATGTTTGAAATACACATTTGAAATTGTGACTTGCAGGTGCCCATGATTCGCGACGGGAGCCACCCTCGGTGGTCTCTCGTCGTTCGTTTATACCGATTAGAGACTCTTGAGTATTCCTTGGTGTCCCACGTGTCCCGACGATGCTCAGACCGTTAAAATCCCACCGATGGTGGAAGATACCGAGCGGCCAGTGTGGCCGCTTCGTCGCGGGCGTGGGCGTTCTCGCGCGGATGGAAAAATTGACGTTCGGCCGGTTCGACGCACGAGAACCACTGGGCAGGAAAATGTGAACGTATGGACACCCGGTTGTCCGGCGACGACGGTGTGTTCAGTGTCGTCAGTTCGATCCGGTCAGTGGGCCATTCAGCATGAACAACGAGCGCAGTGAGTGTATTTTTACGCCACCCGCTTTTGCTCTCTTTCTCCCTATCTCTCTCTTACTCGCTCGTTCTCTTGCGTTGTCTCTCTGTCTCTCTTCCTCCCCCTCCCTCTTCACACACACACTCTCTCTCTCTCTCTCTCTCTTGTTTTTCCGGTCCGCAACGTGCACTACGTACGCAACCACGTAACCGGCTCTCCCGCGATATTTTCACATCGAAGTCGACAAAAATGTCGGAAAGTTTTCGCGAGTTTCTATCGACGGCGCCACGTTGATAGCGCTTCCGCCTTCGCAAGCGGAATCGAACATGTAGATGACCTTATTTTGATGACGCGATAACGAATTCAGGCTATATGCGGATAAAATAGAAGGCTACGTTAATGAAAGTAGTAATGAATGTAGGACGCTCGATAGTTTTATGCGAATATCGCAATTTCGGAAGGAGAAATGGAAACGTATTGTGTTTGATTTTCTCTGCGACGTTTCTTCTAACTTTCTTTCGCTCAAGTTCGGAATGATGAGCAATCCTATTGAGAATTTCACGTTTTGCGTCAAGTACTATTCCACGGTGGAATTTCTTTAAAATTATAATTAAACTGCACGCGTTGCTTTTATATTGGATTATATATTTTATTAGAAATATGTATAAATTAATTTCGGGGATATCTGTATAATTATAATATAATTAATAATATATTTCGCGCAATTTTTGAATGCCATTTTCTTCAAGACATTTTACACGTAATTTGCAATACTTTCTCAATCGATCAATATTACGCACAATTTTTGCATTTTCGCTTTTCTCAGAAGAGGATGGTTCCGTTTATTCGGTCGGAAGCCAAAAGAACCTGGTGCCGATAAGGTCCCGGCAAACCTTGTAAGTAGACACGTGCTCGCGAAAGTTCGCCTCTCCGATATCGGGATATTGGTTTAAACCAGGCGTCGAAATTAAATCTATTCGGCGAAATTACTAATAATTGATTCAAACCCGGCGATTATCCGATCTCGTCGTGTTTGCAGCTTCAAGAAGCAGATTCGGATGTCCACCTTGTTGGTGATAATTCTATTTTTCCTGGTGATCTCTTTGGTGATTACGGTCGTGGTGCTCGCGGTACTCTGTAAGTTTTCTTGCACACTTTAGGCCGACTATCGTCGAATTTTCAAACGAGCAAATTGTTAAAGGCGATTTAATATCCGAAGCGCTAAGAAAGAAAAGAAAAGAAAAGATCACTCGAGTTGAGATGAACGGATTCAACTTTAGACTACTACTCTTATACAGAGGCCATAAATACGTTATTATCTTGAATATCTCCGAATAATCATCTTAAGTACATCCGAGAATAAAGGAAAAATTTATCCAACAAAAATTACATTGATACTAATGATCATCACTTCGCGACCATCTTATGTAAATATAAGCTTTTTTCATCTTCATCTAGTCGTTAATAAAATATTACATAATATAATACGTATAAAAATATTATATAATATTACGTTTTATATCTTTCGAAGATATTTAAAGTTATTGTTTGTTATAGTTATTACTTCGCCTGTATATAGCGAACCAACAGTTTTCATTCTTAGAACAAAATTTTAGTGTTTTTTAATCACTTATTTGTGCAGAACAAACACAGAATCTTCTTCAATGAGACGAATTTAAAGCCCAATGCTTTGCTGATTGTATTTACCGTCTGATTCACTTAATTTACCAACTATAGATGAGATCGATTACTCATAATATACAGTCAAATCATTTTTTTGATAATACCAACAACATTTATCGTACATACAACTATTATTCACTTTCCTTAACTTTCTCCAACCTTTCGACTAAATTTTATAGTTCGAATTCTTATTCTCGTCAATTATTGATCTGATTTTGTCTCAATTTAACTCGACTACAGTTTGCGATCTGACTCGATTCTTATTCAATTTAACTCGATCACGGGAAAATGTACAACAAAATTCTCGGGACCCTGAAATCTGGTTGTTCCGTTTTATTCAATGTTTTTTTAAAAATCGCCTCTCTTACTGTCTCTCTGTATTTTTCGACTTGAGTTGACAGCGACATAGACTGCATAGAGCTTACGAAAATACAAATAAATCCAAATAAGTACAAATAAGTTGCGCGCGAATCCTTCGATTCCGGGTGAACTTCATTAAAATTGCAATAAGCGTATAACTTGACGACAGGAAACGGTATGATAGCAGGAAACGACTGCATAGACACGGTAGTGACTCAACTTAATTCTCGCGATTCTTTGATACATCCCCTTTATCAGTTAGCTCGAAGCAATTATGTTATATGCATATCCTCGGCAAATTATTGGGAGACCATTTAGTGTTGTTCGATCGACATTGACATTGCGAGAATTTACGTGTAAATATTTCAGGCGCGCTATGGATCGCGTGGCGGCGGCGTGCTCGCGTTGTTTCGCGAAACGGTTCTCACTGCGTGCTTCTCGTTATTATGTAACGTCCATAGAGTGTCTCTTTCTCTTTCTATCCTCACGCACGTGGATCGTTCTCGGCTAAATTAATTCGCGATACGCGGGAAGCGATAACCCCAAGGGGCGTGCGCCACGCGTTCTTTGAAACCGCAGCTTCAATTACGGCCTCGCCTCCGAAAACAGCCAAGCTACTTTTAGGTCGCGCGAAATTAACCGCAGGAAATGCCTGGCATTCCATCTTTCATATCTCTCTAATAAACATTAGGTGACCGTTATCTGAAGGAATTTTAATTTGAAATTTAGTTCCTTCTTTTCACGTGTGGAAACTCAATTTATTGAGGATACGTGTATTACAAAATTGCGGAATATCACGGGAATACTTTTGCGGAAGATACGTACATGTTGCAAATTGAAACTTCACACAAACTTTCACTCTGATGAGACATTTTTTGAAGCAGCTGGGTTTGATAAGCGCTCCGAAAATATAAAAATGTAAATTATAATATACTATTGATATAAATTTTTATGATGCCGAGAAATGTAAATTAATAGAAAAATAAGTAAAAATAGGTGAAAAATGAACAAATCAGAGCTAAATGTCAATGTCAAGGCATATTAATTTATATACCTCAAGTTAAATTTTTTACAAGTCATCATATATGTCGAAGGTTTTGACTCTGTTTTCAGGCCATCTTTAGCGAAATATTAATATTAATTTATTGTATTAGTTTATTATATTTCGCTGAAAAATGAGCCATTTATTGTATTAATTTATTATATCTCGTTGAAAAATAGCGTCGAAGCGTTTGATATACACGATGATTTGTAAAATTTATTCTGAGTATATAAATTAACCGCCTTAAAATCGCTACTTAATTCTGATTTACTTGTTTACTTTCTTATTTGTACTTGATTCTGATTTACTTGTTTACTTTCTTATTTGTACTTGATTGTATATCAGTAAAACATTTTAACACTGTTTGTTTTGGCATAAATATTGCAACACTGAAAATATGAATTAATCGCGGTTTTTGCAGATGCGTGCAACAGCACGATGAAGATATGCGACAACGAGGATTGCGTGCGAATAGGTTAGTACGAGGATGAACTACTTATTGTACGCGAATTAACGTTTCGTAAAAGGAAAGAAAAAAAAAATAGAAAGAAACGGGAAGAAAAACACAGAGAGAAATATATCGTGATCTTCGCTCAAATCGAGAACGACTTTTCACATGATCCCTTTGTTTATTTGTCAGCGGCTAGTTTGAAGGAATCTATGGACACTTCTGTAGATCCTTGCGACGATTTTTATCAGTGAGTAGATCGGTCGTGGGCGTGATGCACCCGGGCACACGAAATTCCACGCACGTTCTGCAGATATCACTTTGCGTTACGCAAATATCGCACCCGTGTTTTACTTTCACTCGCTTGTGCAAAAACGCCGTTCTGCAAATTGATGCGATTTCACTGCTCTAGTAAATCCAAACACAAACGAAACACACCGCGGGAAAATTCGTTTTGTTTCCGTGAGGTAATACCGGCGCGAGCGAAATTGGAACTCGCTGTCCGCGATCTTAGAAACCGTCGAATCGCTGGAGCGACAAATCATATTACACTTAACTTATATTTTTCTTTATCATGAAATTAAATTCAGCTTTATATATATATATATATTAATAAATTATACATATTTATATAAATAACTTGCGTTCTTATTTATTATTATTTACTTATATATATTTATAATTCTTTTATATAATTATCTATTTATATTTGCACTTACACTTATTTATTTATATGTAAATTATAGACTTATAAAAATTATAGAAATCGTGTTAATAAAAATTAAATTAAATTAATTAAATTAAATCGCGAGGCGATTCAGAAAATTTTTATCACAGTCTTTAGACATTTTATGTCTTCCCAAAAGTTTTTATATATCTTCTTTTTATATATCTTCTCGAAATATATCTCGTTTTTATGTATTTTCTCAAAATGTTAAAAAAATCTTCCTAGTATAGATTTTTACGTCGTCGCACATGATTAACTTTTTGATTAAAAAACTGAATTTCGCAAAAGTGCTTAAGTTAGCAAAAAAAAGATTTTCAAAAGCAATGTCATGAAAATTTCCGAAGGGTTTTTGAGATCATATTGCATTTTGAATTTTGAAGTTCACAATTGAATAGAGTAATTCCAAAAACACTTTTGAATATCTAATTGTAGATATGTTGAACTACCAGAAATAACAAAATATAGTAAAGCGTTTCTACCAGTTGGATCACTTTTGTGAACGCGGTTTTGCGTTTTCCCCGGTCAAGGAGTTAATCGAATCGCACCGATTGATTTTCGAACGTTTGCGGCCAACTTCCTCATTTTTATCGCGGAATCTATTACAGTTACGCTTGTGGAAAGTGGCCGGAGGAACATCCGATTCCGGACTTTACTGTAGTGAACACGTGGTTCCACGAGCGCACTGATCGCATGTCCAGGAAGATCAGAGAGCTGCTGCAGGCGAACATATCTGCCAGCGAGTCGCCGTGGGCGGTGATGCAGGCGAAGATGCTGTTCACCAGCTGCACGGACGTGCGTACGTTGCCGTTTTTGCTACTTCCCTCGCTTCTCCGCGATTTTCGACTTCGATCGGAATATCGGAACTTCGCGTGGCGGAATCTTTCGCGACTTGACACGCGACGAAAATCCTCTCGCAAATTCCTCTCATCTATTTTTCTATTTTTCCTCGTGGTGAGTGAGAACTTACATTTTCAGATGCGATGAACGAACTGGACATGTCGCCGCTGTACGACCTGTTGACGTTGCTGGATTTACCCCTGATACCGGCGTTGCTTAGTAATAAGACGGGCGATTATATCGAGCAAATGGCCAGTCTGAAAAGAATTTTAGGCCGCGATATCTTCTTCGGCCTCAATGTCATGCCCGATCCGAAGAATAAAAGCAGAAACGTGATCTTCCTTGACACTCCGGACACGTCCTCTCCCTTTCCTACGTACGTATTTCTCTGTAACGAGATCTCTGAAATTATTGTTATTTTATTACTTATTATCGTTATCGTTGTTGTCGTTAATACATTTGTTTTAACAGGAAATCAGCTCTTCAGTTACAAAATTAATCTCATAATATTGCGGATGATAGAATAGAATAAAAAAGAGAAGATGGAAAAAGGAAAAATGAAGAAAAAGAACCATAACGAATTCATTTAAGAATATGTGAAAGCAAATATGTAAAGTTAGATGACGTTTACTAAAGTCCATATGTGCGTAATATTCATTAGCTAGATATAAAGAGACGATTTTTATACAATTGAATTGGTAATTCCATTAAAATTATCATAACACACTCTACGATATTTCAATAGAAAAATATTGCCTGAACCTGAAGGAAGAAAAAAGCTAATCTTGAACGTTCTAAAATGTTATGAGATAATTGATAAAATAATTCGAAGTTTGAGCGTAAATAAAAAATCAGATGGAATTTTTCTATTCTTCCGCTTTTCTTTTAAATTGTTAGTTTCGAATTACTATTTCTTATTATTTCGTATGGCTGTTATATAATATATAATTAACATTTACACACAAGTACGCGCGTATGCGCAGTGAAGTCGTTATCTAGAGAAATCTCATACGTTCAATTAGTCGTATCTCGATCATTTCGTTCACATTTTTTTTTATGTCTAATAATCATTTTTTATGTCTAATAATAACGATTCTCTCGATGATAGCAATAAAGAGCTCGAGAAGCGGCTGCGAACCATCAGATCGCGATTGCGAAAACTGGAGGATATAGAGGAAGAATCGACGTTCACCGAGGACGAGGAAGCTGAATTTGCCTACATGAGGGAAATCATCAAGCTAATCATCAGTAACGGTACCATAGACACTTGCGTCGCGGAGGATAACTCTACGACGAACGCGAAGGAACTCGATGTCCTCATCGAGGATCTTTATGACATCAGTAGCACCTTATATTTAGTGAGAATTTTTCTTCCCTTAATTATAATGAAATTTTAGTTAAGTGTCAGAGTTGCTCCTCTCCCTCATAAAATAAAAGACAACTGGAATGTCTTACGATTTATCCAAATTAATTTGTACGCGCAATTGCAGTCGAAGATAATTGATTATTCACAATTTAACTAACACATATCTGACAAGTACAACGTTTAATTTTTATAAATATTATTTATGTAAGAAATAAATATGTGAACGAAACGTTGGAAATAAATCCGAAACACGAGAAACATCTCTCTCGATGTAAAGCAGGAAGTATCTTCTAATCGAGAAAATTTTAGATTCAATTCTTCAAATTCTGCAATTTTTTGGATTAAATTCTTAAAAAAATTATAACGCTCGGAGACAGATAAAAATAAAACTTGCTCTTCTCATAGATGGTCGGCCATAGTCGGAACTCCAGCATTTCCGAAGAGAATCTGACCGACGAGGATTACATGTTGGTGGATGATCTGCAACGCATAACGGACGAGTATGTGATAAGCTCTAACTTGAGCTTGACACCCAAACCGATTTGGCGGCCTTTTATCGAATCTGTCTTCAAGGGAATAATCCCGTTAGATCTAGACAAGAAGGACAAAGTTCTCGTTGGCAATCTGGAATTTTTGAAGTACGCCGCGTTGGTATTTGCTGCTGGTGAAGAACGAGAGCTGGGTACAAACATTTCTTCTTTATTAATTATTGACGTTAATTTTTAATATTATTATTATCATTAATTTCTAATTGTTAATTCATTATCTACTATTTTTTATTACTATTATTAATTAATTTGTCTTCTATTTTATCTTCTATTCCTTATTGTTGATTAATTTATCTATCAATTTCTTATTTTTTATCTTCTTATCGTTAATTTCTAATTTTTATACTTGATCTTACAGCGATTCATTTGGTTTGATGTCTAACGCAGTGTGTCTCTTCATTCAGAAACCTGTGTCTGGTGGGTCGTCGTGGACATGGCAGTGCCTCATAGTTCGGAGAAGCTGAGGAAAGCCTGGACGACGTACGTTAACAAAGTGATGGATATAGAAATGGCGGAATCCAAATCCCTGCAATGCGCATCAGCTGTCAATCATCTCATGGGTATGCACGTCGCTATATGGGCCTTCAATTAAATTTATAATTTAAGTTAAATTAATTATGATGATCTTGAAGAACATTTCGCGGTCAGAAAATAATTGATTCGTTGATCTACGTAATTAATTTTCTATAGAACGACCTTAGCATTCAGTATCTCGTACAAATCAAAGAAAGACAAAGAATGGAAAATGTTCCGCCTTTGATCTTTCTCGGTTCTGAAAAATGTTAAAATGTTATTTTAATTTCAATATGTGAAGAATAATACTCTTATCACACACATATACGGATTGTAAAATTCAAGCTACGTGTGACAATTGAGCCAAATGAATCGATGATATCCAATTAATTATTTCGACGGTCTAAAATTTTCCTTGCAAACAGATCAGTTTATGCGGTAACAAATATCCATTGTGTATTGTACATCGGAATTAGATTTCTGGAATCAATTTTTCGGGACGACCAAAGCTTTCTGCGCTACATCGAGAGAAGGGAAATCGCAATTGAATTCCCTTTCGATGCCTCGAAAGGCGCGCCCCGCCTCACGGATTTCACTTGGAATGAAGGGTGTCCTTCGTCGGTTTCCAGGAATGGCAGTGTCATGGCTGTTCATAGATCCGACATTCCACAATAATAAGGCTCGCAAAGTGCACGAGATGCTGGAGGATATACGAGAGGCGTTCGTCTCGCTGATCGGCGAAACGGACTGGATGGACTTGCAAACGAAAGTCGCGACGCTCGAGAAGAGCAAGAAGATGACATCCGAGATCGGATATCCCGAGTGGCTTTTCGACGAGAAGAAGCTCAACGAGTATTACGAAGGCGTGAGTCTCGTATAATTATGTTTTAAGGTTCTTCTTGTTTTTGCCAGTTCTAATCAATTAAAGTTGAAGTCAATTGCAATTAGTTCTCTAATTAGTTAAAGTTAAAATTGAAGTTTCAATTGAAAGTTAGTTTTCTACTTAACTTAAAGTTTCAATCAACGTTAGTTCTCCAATTAGTTAAAGTTATCATTGATGTTAATTGAAGAGAGCTAACGCTATTATTGTTATCACGAATTTTCGCGAGTTGACGAAGAGAATACTATCGACTTGTTGACGTTTAGATAGACCTTTCGGAGACGAGATACTTGGAGAACATGGTGCAAATCGTGCAATTGACATGGAACAACACGTTACACGAGTTGCACAAGGTCAATTTGGACAACGAAACGTTGTAAGTAATGATGAGATTGTCGTAAATCACAGATCGTCGGTGAAATGACGATGCTGTGCCGTGTTAAAGTCTTGTCCTTCCTCACGCTATGTCTCGCCATGGATAATTAGCTGGATGAGCGACCCCACCACCGTGAACGCCTACCATGCTTTCCAAGACAATCAAATAAGTACGTATCGAATTAATCTCTTCGTAGATGGAATCACGCACGCGTGTGTATGTGTGCGCGTGTACGTATTAAGTAGGATCGATAATACGATAAACTTTTGATTTTCAACCGCACTATTTTTTCTTTCGTTTAATATTTTGCCGAGTTCAACGTTATTTGTCCTTCACTTCTCCATTTTCCGTTATCTAATATCAAGACATGACTAATCTTTAATATACTACTACAAGTTTCTTTTAACTAAAACCTTAAAGAATTTATTTATTTTATTTATGGAAAAAATAAACTTTTTCTTCGTTCTTGGGAAGACTTCTGAGAAAGAATAAAAGAATAAGAAAGTCACGAAATATGAATCTTTATGAATAGTCAGAACTGCTCGAAAAGAAACTTAGAAAGTAAAATTGGATTTAATAAAACCTGACAGTACACGAAGGGTTAATTAAAGATCGATATGAGTATACAGCACGTTGTTGATCAATTGAACATTTCCGTTTAATTGTAACGTTCCGTTCAATGGAAAGTTATCAGTCGAGACTTCTTTTCTTATCCTATATTAATAAAATATCTTCTCTTTTGCTACTCACACGCAGCCATACCTGCCGGAATCCTTCAATTCCCGTTCTATGAATTGGGTCTCGAGTAAGAGAACAGGAATAATTACTTCACGATTTATCTTTAAGAATAGATAGCACGACCAGAGAAGAACAAAAGAGAGAGAGAGAGAGAGAGAGCATTCTATTTTTAGACCGTATAATCGATGTTTCTTCTCGCTGAGCGTAATTTGTTCATTCGAAACGATTTCGATTGCAGGGCACTGAATTACGGCGCCATCGGTTCGATTCTCGGCCACGAGCTGACTCATGGATTCGACAACAGCGGCCGGCACTACGACAGCGACGGGAACGTGCGGCAATGGTGGAGTAACAAGACCATCACTGAGTACACCGAGCGGACGCAGTGTTTCGTAGATCACTACAACACGTATTACGAGGATGAGGTAAGTTCATCGAGCGTAATCAAGTGGACTCAACTTCGCGAAACTCGAGATTCTCAAAACTTAAGATATCTACAACTAGATGTTTTGACATTATATAAGAAAACGCACATATTGACGGGATCTAAATTTCAAAAAAATTAAAATTCCCCCATCAAATATCTTTGGACATCTCTTATTTCTCTAATCTTCTTAATATCGCCTTGTTTTTAAATTATTTTAATTTATTATATTTATTTTAATATTTTCATTCTTATTTTATTTTATTAAATTTACAAGTAAAATTCCCGGGAGGAAATTTAAATTATACTTAAATCTCATTTGAAAAGTTATCCGCACAAATTTATTAAATCTTTTGAATATCGTTTTTGTGCAGTTTTTATATTACTTTGCAATTTTGATTTTACTTTATAGTTTTCTCTTATTTTTACCTTATTATTCACATTTTTTATTTTATGTCTTACTTATTCTCATTTATTTATTCTCATTTTTATTTTACATTTTACTTTATTAGATTTATAAATAAAATTTCCCCTGAGAATCTCCTTGACGATTAAAATTTTGTAATATTATTTCCTACATTTTATATGATTTTTCTTTAATTCTATCTTATTTCCATTTAATTCTTATTAAATTCAGAACTATATTCAGAATTATATTCTTCTATTTTACCAGAGCATCGTCTGTTTTTTTTTAATTTTTTATCGAAAAGGATACTCTAAGAGAGTTTTGGGATTTACGCCTCCTTGAAATCGAACGATTTATGTAACCTCACGATTACTTCTTCAAAGAGCGAGAATTACGCGAAGATCGTTCTCTTTGGCAAGAGTTGAACGAACCGAGAGCTCGGCGCTCCAACTAATAATACATTATCCGATCGACAGATTGACGACTACATCGACGGTGAGCTGACCTTGGGCGAGAACATCGCCGATAATGGGGGCCTTCGCGAGGCCGTCATCGCTTACGAGAGATGGAAGGCCAGGCACGGCCGGGAGCCCCTTCTTCCGGGATTCACGCAACTCACGCACGAGCAGCTGCTCTTTCTCAGCTACGCGCACGTAAGGCAACGGCCCCGTTCCCCAATTATGACGTAACGGCAATATTAGTCGCGTCGCGACGGTGTCGTTCATATTACGTGTCGGTCGTTGAATTTCGGTCTCGGCTCCGCTTCGGCTATCTTTAAGATTTCTAGTCGATGGACCTTCAATAAGCGCTTTCACGCGATCCTCTTGATTTAGGGATCTTCATTCTGACAGAAACGGGCCCATCGTCGAATTTGCATTTCTCAAGCGCGAGACGAACCGCATTGTTACCGCGTTGTTCGATATTTCAACAACCCTTTGCTGCCCTACGTCGAGTCTACTTCGATATCATGTTTCGTTCTAGTCGATTTTGTAAACCAACCGTTTACTCAACAAAATATAGAGTGAGGCATGACTATTATTATCCTTATTATCTTATTAAATAAGATATTAAGTAAGATATTAAGTAAATAAGTAAATAAGGACGAAAAGGGAAAGTGGAAGGATATATCTTCGTTCAGATAGGCCGAGGAACTCGTAATGCAAAAGAGGCTTTTGTTTTTTAATATTCATTGTGGATATTTCCGGATCGCAATTCCTCGATGATGCGGTAATCGTCAAAACTTGTCGGAATCCGCGCCGATTCATTTCTTCCTTCTCATCGCAACGCAGTATATAAGAATCCGACGGAAACCCGTTGCGCAGCTGTTGGCCTTCGCCTCGAGAAAGATGGCTATTATTTAATCCTAAACCCGACCTGTAAATTGCAATAAATTAAAGCGGACGCTTCTGCGCCTCTTCTTCAGAACGCCACTGAACTTTAGATCCGGCTCTTGACATTAAGATTTCTCGATCGTTCAGATGTTTACTTTCTGTTTTCGACGTCGAATCGACTCAAAGGAATTTTCTTAGTCGAGCAAAAATTTAATTTAAAACATACTTTCTCTCTCTTTCTCTCTCTCTCTCTTTCTCTCTCTCTCTCTCTCTCGCAGACAGAAGACAAAATAAATACGCGTGACCGATTGATTTCAGTTATGGTGCGAGTCTTACACGACCACTTCGCTCAAATGGATGCTAGAGGACTCGCATTGCCCCGGCCACGTGAGGCTTCAGGCGGTGCTGAGGAATTCCAAGGAGTTCAGCGCCGCGTGGAAGTGCCCGGTGGGGTCGAACATGAATCCGTCGAAGAAGTGTCACTTATGGTAAACGGCCATGCTCCGGCTGATCAAGGAAAGACAGTTCAACGCTTTGTTACGATGCTCTTGAGCAAAGCTGTACCGATGTCCTATTTTCGCTCGACGAGCCCGTAAAGTTCGCAATGCGAAACGATGATGATTCAACGCTCGTGGCGTAAAATACGAGTATATTCGTGAAAAACGCAAAAATATTTTAAGGGTGAAACTGATTTTAGAGGACCTAATTTCTAGTCGAATTTGTATGCCTGTGATTAGCTTAAATTGAAAATGCTAGGTCGATTGATTCGACTTATCCCGAGGTCTGATGAAACAAACGAAGACCTCAAAGAGGTTAGAGAATTTGAAAAATTTCTTGGAGAGTGTGAAGTTTATGATTTTACCCAAAATGGGAGTGAAAATTCGTGCGAAATGACAGTGAAAATATCGGCACTCGGAGTCGCAAGAGTGAATGTTACTCGAGTTTAGAATAGATCCTCAATCTGTACGAATGGAGATTTCAATGGATTAGTTATTTGTGAATTTGTTTTAGTAACGGTAGAATAGAATAGAGAGAGAGAGAGAGAGAGAGAGAGAGAGATTCGTTCATCGATCTAAATAAATCAATAAATCAATAATTTCGAGATAAATAAAAAATATCGAATAATCGGCGTTCGCTCGACGATTCAAAGTGGAGTATTCACACTTTAGCAAAGAGTCACTTGAATTCGAGCTAACTTGGCTGCCACTCTGCTTTTCGTGCGGAATTTCACTCGAAGAAATTTAGAGAGGACGTTCGACGTGACGAAGTGGATCCTTAAGGACCTTTCTCACGCAAACTGTGCGATAGTTAAATTATCGTTTACCGATGACCGTCGCACGGCCGACGAAATCGTATTCAATATGTTTTCCGCACTGGCACACATTGGTGAGAGATGGTGCACCCTGTTCAAGAGAAGCCCAAGAGCGATCCGATGATGTTTGTAATAAAAGAACTTTATTTACGTACAAAAAATATTCTCTAATTCTTCTATTATTAATCCTCTTTAACATTCCTCCTCTAAACGTCTATCGATCGTCGTTCGTGTCGCACGAGATCCCAAATCGTACTACTTTTCTTGACGATTAGCTCTGTCTGTCTCGCCGCACGATACTTATTTATATTGGCCGTTCGTTTTTCGCCGATTTCGATGAATTTGCAATTTGTTCGTCGATATATAAACGAGTGTATATTCTTAAGAAATGTGCTCGTGACGACTCGATTAAATCGGTGCCTCTGATTAAACCATCGCGGCAACCAGCATGCGGAGACCGAGGCACGAGGTCGATCGGAAAGTTCGTTCTTTTCTCGTTTTGCTCGAGATAGAAAGTGGATTCACTCGGACAGACCCAATCAATTGAAGATGGCGCGTCAAATTGCAGCGGTTAAACGCGTACTTTGACGACGAAAAAAGAATTTTTTTAGAGTGGAAGGTTAATTTCCGAGTAAACGTTGTTAAATGTGGACTGCATGAGTCATGTGACCGTGAGACACACGTGAATTTGTACACGTAAAAATTAAAATTAAAATTAAAAATGTTAAAACAATTTTTGAAATAAAGAATGTTATGAAACATTAACTCAAAAAAAAAAAAGATAACTAATTGTTTTCTCTCTTTATAACGCCTACATTTTCTCACGTCATAAAGATAGAAATTCGTCTTTCTTTATCTTCCTATTTTCATCTTTAATTCAAGATCTGACTTGAAGAAAGTACTTGGTGCATGTTGGGTCTGTCTGTGCGAAATCTACGCACGAAACACGGGCTCTGAAAGATACAACGAGAACGAAAGAGCTCCTCGATCGATACCTGGTGGCCGTAGAATAAGCGACCGCATCGAACGACGCGATGAGGCAAGTACGAACGGCGATCCTCGACCTCGATACTCAATGGACAATTCTTCCTTCGTTTCTCTGCTGGACAAGTTGTTCGATAGCGCAGGTCCTGTGTAAGTAAGCTTGTCTTAGTAGATGTAGCCGCCGTTGGTGCCGATCGGCTGCGTGTACTCCTTCTGCGACGTGGCCTTCCCGATTTGCTCGAAGGGAACTGGATGATCAATGATCAATTTAGGCTTGATAGGCACAATGGGGGTAGGTTCGATGATCAATTTGGGCTTGAAAGGCGCAATGGGGGTAGGTTCAACGATCAATTTGGGTTTGAGAGGCACAGTGGGGACAGGATCAACGATCAACTTGGGTTTGACAGGCACAATCGGAACAGGATCAACGATCAGTTTGGGTTTGGCGGGCACAATGGGGACAGGATCTATCACTTTGTTGATCACGGTCTTGGTCGTTGGGTTCTCGATGGTGACGGTGTCAGCGTCGGCGGACGTCGGGGTCGGTTGCGCGGGGAAGATCGGCAGGGACGGCAGCTGGAAGTTCTCGAAGGGGTTCTGGAAGTTCTCGAAGGGGTTCGGGAAGCTCGGCAGATTGCTGATCGTGTCCTGGAACGTGGACGCCGTGTTCTCGAAGAAGGTCTGGATCGGGTTCGCCTTTAACACGTCGACGGTCAAGTGCGGCTGCACCACCGGCACGCTCGTGTGGACGTAGTGCGGCACCGGGTAGGGCACAGCACGGGGAACCTCCACGGGATAGGGACGGTCCACCGGAACCCGGACCGGGTACGGCACGCGCACCTGGTACGGCTTCGGGACCTCGACGGTGTGCGGTACCGGGACGCGGTAGGTCACTTGCTTCGTCACTGGAACCGGGTACGGCTGCGGCACCTTTACTTGCACGTGGTGGTCGACGGTCTTGACGGGGATGGAGCCGAACGACTGGTAGTTGCCGATGTAGCTCGTGGGATAGCTCGTGGGGTAGCTCGTGGGGTAGCTCGTATGGTAGCTCGTGGGGTAACTCGTGGGGTAGCTCGTGTGCGCCAATGAGAACTGGCTGTTGTCGGTGAAGGAGTTGAAGCTGGGCAGGCTGCTGATCGATTGCTGAGTTAATCCTGGAAGCACGTGGACGAGTGAGCAACGTGTGCGTCGGGCACATTTTGTGTGCTTTAACGCGTTCGTTCGTTGTTGTTATCGTTAGCGTATTTCGACGTTGTTCCATTTGTGGGACGCTTCCTTCTTGTCGAATATAATCATTCGGTTAATTATAATGTAACTAGTAGTTATATATTATATTGTTAATATTAATAATTATAAATAATGTTATTATGTTCTCAGTATGTAATTCTCAGTTGTATCTGTTTTCAAGAAAGAAAGGTTAACATTGATTTTAAAGAAGATTTCGAGGAAATAAACAAATTGGATAGATGCAATTTCTATGTTCTCAGTAGTTCATTTCCAGCATATTTATGCTTTCAGCATAAAAACAGTTCTGATGTTAATCAAAATATACTAGTAAAAATAGTTCTAAATTTTAAAACTTTAAACAGAAATAAAGAGATCTTTTAATAAAAATGCTTAAAACAGACTGAGATCCTTTATATTAAAAACGTTTAAAATTATTAAACGATAAAGTAGTCAAATAATTAAAAATGTTAACAAATTTTTATAATTAAAAACATGTGGAACGATTATGGCCTTTAAATTTTATGGCTTTGAATGGGTTAAAGCATAATATATTTTTCGTTCTGAAACAAACTTCAAGTTCAGATCAATATAAACACAATTTACTAGGGTTTTCCACAATTTTTAATTTTACGTATATGGTTAAAAATTGCATAAATAATCCTAAAATTATAACGTTAAGCATATACGACGAGTCTTGTAGCCCTGAGGCTTTCGCTTCAAGAGCGGTATCTCAAGGATTCAAAGTCTCAGTGGGGCACGAACGGAGAAAACGAGAAAATTCGGGATGAACTGAAAATTACGATACAGTATCTTGGGCGATTTGGTAACGGATAAGATACGAGCGTGCTAAAAAGTGAAATGTCAAGAAGAACCGGCGAACGAGCTTGAGACATCTTATTGAATATTAAAAATGCAAAGAAGCACGCGAAAGGATCCTTCTTTCTCCCTCTTCTCCCTCACTCGCTAAATAAGCGAATATAATATTGCAGAAACTGTCTTCGCCACGATTAATATTCATGTCGAGCATGTAATACGTATACATTCGTGCTCGGCCACGACGAAAGGAGAGCGGCGTCTGGTGTTCCGCGTTAGTCAGGCGTTAGAATAATTCATGGGGAGACACATTCCGGTTTCTTTCGAAAATGTCACACACCGGGATGCTTCGTGGGCCACGGAAATATCCGAAATTTTTTCTTACGTAACTCCCGACACAAATTTAATATTCAATCGTGTGTTTTTCGCTTGCACGAACCCGGCGGGCTCACGTCGTAAATTGTCTGTCTTTCTTCGTCGACGGGTCCGCGCTTACCTTGAGTCTCGGGCAGCTTCGCCTTCTCGATAACGATATCCTTCTGCGCGTGCACGTTCTCGAGTTTCGGCTGCTTGTCGATCGTCTGCAAAAGAAGGTTCGACACGCTCCGGTTGAGATGCGTTTCAGCGCCGTCCGCGACGCGACAGGTGAACATTTTTAACGAGAAGAAATCTATTTAAAGAAATTTTACCCCAGATAAAGAAATCTTCTCGTAACTGAATTTTTATTCCAAATCTTGTGGAAATGTTCAAACCGATGTATCGTAAAATGTGCAAATTAAATTTTTCCATCGAAAAGAAGTTGATTGTGTAAATTCTTCGATGAAAAAAGACGTGGAAAATTAAATGTTAAAATCTTGCAAATCTTGAGAGAATATTTCTTTCGAAAATAGTAGAAGTATTTTATATATGTTGTAAAATATACAAATAAAATTTTTCCACCAAAAAAAATCGGTTCTGAACAAACTGAGTAAATCCTTTCATGAAAGAAGACACGGAAAATTGAATGTTAAGATCTTGTAAATTTTAAGAGAATATTTTTATCCAAGAGTTGTGTAGAAATATTATATAAAGTATGCGAACTGAATTTTTATCCTAAACAAAAATGGATTTTGGATCGGTCGTGTAGATTCTTAGATGAAGGAATATACAGAAAATTAAATGTTAAAATCTTGCAAATTTTGTGAAAATTCGTCCCACAAATGACAGTTTTCAATGATAACGAATCACCGTATCTTTCTTTACGGGGATTCCGTACGAGGTCTGCAGGATATGAATTCGTTTCTTGCTCTGAAGGTATGAAAACGCATAAATGGCGTGAAAATGACATTAACAAGGGTACTATTTTTTTTTTATCTCTTTTTCAATTATAGCAAGTAGTTCCTGTGATCATTTGCGTGTTTCGATCAGCAATATTCGGTGTTTTCGATGCACACACAATCAACGTTGACAACGTGCTTACCTTAATGTTGGTACCGTAAGAAGTGATGGGCGCTTCAGCGTACGGTACTTGATAGTTCAGGTCAGGGTTAAAGTGTACATCAGTCTTTAATCAATATGCGATAAAAGAGCTTTCAGTAAGAAGAATCGTATCAGCGAAGGAAAGCATATAACGTCTATTGTTCAACGTTTATCATAAAATCGATTGAAGCGCCGGGAAAATTGGAATAATGTTATTTCGGACATTGAACAAAATTGTTCCATCAATTGTAACACGCGTTTATATAAGAAGAATATATAATATTAATAAATAACATAATTTTTTAAATATTATATAATAATCAGATAATCGCTAACATACAAGGTGTAAACTAATAGTCATGAAAGACGCGCTAATTGATAAATTTAATTCATTGATTAAGCATCTTAATAGCCAAATTGATCATTTGCTTTTTTCATAAATTTCCTAATTTTTAAAAGTTAAGTACTAATCACGTGTTGATGCTCTATTACTATTTTGTTGAACATTGTGCAAAAAATTTGTTCAGGGCTTTCCGACTGGATTTTTAAAAACGAACTGTCCTATGCGATTAATGGACATCGATTAAATCACTCTGTATAAAAGGCGGATGATTACATTTGAAACTTTGACTAATTGTTAAATCAACAACTGGAAAAAATGAATATCTTCTCATTAATCGCGCGCGCCATTCAGAAACGTCCTTGCCGAAAAATTACTGCCAGATGAAAATTTAACGACTATCCGTTTGTCCTCCTGTCATTATCAATCTCTAAGCCGTAGAAAGTCTTTAAACGGATTCAGGAATAATCGCGAAGGGTTAAGCAGCCAATTCCGACGAATGGGATAAGTCATCGAGATGCATCTTGAGAAGTATGAATCGCAGAGAAGAGTGTTTCGCGGCTCAATTAACAAATCCATAGAAAGTGAAATTATAATGTGATAAGTGAAATTATAATGTAATAATGTGATCACGGAAAGATTATATGATCGACATACCTTGGGAAGCACATTGATAAGAGGCGTCTTCTTGTCCTCGACGTTGGGAGCAATATAGTTGCCGTTGAGCTGCGATAAAAAAACAAAAATAACTAAAATTCCGCGTAATTGTAGAAGTAATGATCAAAGTAAAATAAAAGTAAATATAAAATTTCGTGTTGATTATGTAATAATATAATACACACACATACACGTATGAATAGTGATTGAAGTTATTAAAATTGAATTTTTGAAAATTAAATTATTAATTATTAATTATAGATTTATCGATTATTAATTATGAAATTAGAAATTGAAGTAAAAGTGTCGAGGAGTCGGTAATACTATCAATTTCCACATTTCTTTCAGCTACATTAGTTATATAATATACTTGATTTCTTGAAAATTATTATTAATTATTGATCATCAATTATAGGATGATCAATATTTTATTATCGAAATAAAAACTGCAATTAAATAAGTTAGAAATATATAGTAATTTCGATTTCCACGTTTGTATTGGAGATTTTGACTATCGAATATATTCGAAATTATTTTACTTCTTGAAAACCCACTTGTCAATTGTCAATTATTAAATTATCAATTACTAATTATAAAATAAGAAACTGAAATTATAGAGAAATAGTAGATAAGTTTGTAAAAAAATTGTAATATTTATATAATCATTGATATTTCAACCGTCGAATGTACCGAGAATAACTCTTTTAGGTTCCAGGAATTCGAGTTTGGCGAATTTCAGGTTTACCTGAATGGTGTCGGGTATTCCGTATGAAGTAGACGGCACCTGAATGGTATCCTTGTTGTTGTTAATCGACAGGAAGTCGCTGTTGATGAGGTTACCAGGTGTGTGGTTGGGCGGACCATAGCTCGGCTTGGGTACCTGGAATGAGTCCTTCTGGACCTCTGTGTCTGGTACCGAGAAAGAACCTATATAGCCGCCAATGGCTTTCGAGATTTGTACCTCGTTTTCGTGCTCATGATGAAGATGATGGTGCTGGTCGTTTCCGCGGTAGCGCGGGTCGCCCGGCAGGATATTTCTCTTCTGCTTCTCTTCTGCTGGTGCTGCCAGAGCAGCCGTGAAGCAGATCTGGAAAAATTAATGAAAGCGATCAGTGTAGAAGACGCGAGATGTGTTAAAAAGAAAACGTTAAATAAATCATGAAAATAATAAAAATATTTTTTATTAAAAATTAAAATTTCTTTAATTAAAGAAAAAAATATTATTATACAATGTTATTTTTTTAAATTTTTATAACATGTAACATTTTATTAATATTACATTTATAACATTAATTAATTTTCTTTTAATTTAAACAATTTTTGAACAGTATTTTTCGATATATTTTATTTAGCTGATATCGATAGGTATATCGTTTCGTTTCACTGTAATTATTGCATCGATTCACTCCCCTGTTGACAAACACTTCGCTGGGTCATCTTTATTTATCATTCTGACGCAATTTCGAATCGCTGGACGAGTCGTTACGGAATCGATATTGGACCTATTTGCATTTTAATGGATAATTTAATGCAAAAATTCAAAAAACGACTCCTACATACTAGGAGGTCTACTAGGTCGTATTTTGATTTCTGTCGCATGATATTTTTAAACATCGTGCAAAGTTATAAAATGCAGAAGCGATATCGATAAGTAATACTTCACGGGAAAAACTTAACTCAGAGAAAACATATGTGCAATTCGTAAATTTTTATAACTATTTCTCTGCTGTTAATAAATTTCCGCCATGTTTCCTGAAAGTAAACGAATATACCAAGCAAGGCTCTCCCGTATCTAATTGTGTAAGTCCAATAAAAGTTGTCATTGAATTTCAAATGTGATAATTAAATCTGTGTGAGAATTATAGTGTTTCATATGTAAATGATATTCGTCGAAGGCTTCTTCGGCTTTTAAATGTCGCAGTTTCTATTGTGTCAATCTATCTCTGTTATCCCGACTTACTGAGGTACTTTGAGATCAACATTAATATTAATTTATCTCAAAAAACAACAAATGCCTAATGATAAATTTATCATGAGAAATAATATTAAATAAAGAAACAAGTAAAAACAATTGTAATAATTATCGAATCATTATAGTTTGTATTAGTAATTGTTATTTGGAGCTTTTAACTTTATTGAGAAATTACTTGAAGCTTGTTTTACGTGAAATTTGAATGTAGTGTCAGATATACAAGTTTTTCAGTTGAATTGTTATTATAAATATCACGGGTAAAACGCAATTCAACTGAGAAGTTCAGAATTAACACGAAAGTCAAATCTGATTATATTTCACGTGAGGCAAGATTCAACTCAGCACTATTTATATGAATTTATAGGCTTAGAAAACGAGTCTATCGATTCAACCGGTTCATTGAATCGTGATATCGATCACTGTCACTACCCGGAGCAAAATATTCGAGAATCTTCCTCTTTCCTCTTCTTGAGGCAATCTAATCGAGCAAGTAACGATCTCGCTTTCTTTCTCAAAATGTCACAACAAACGTATAAATAATGTATAACATCTGCTTTGAACTAACGATTAATTACTCGACTGTCGACTTTCACGAAGTGACCTCGCAATTTTTCTCCCGCTGTCGCGCGCATCTCACTCACACAATTCCCCAATTTGCTCCGAGAGAATAATAAAAGAGAAATAAAACCAAAGAAAGAGAAGGAAAGAAAAAAGCCAAACACAGCCCGAGAAGGCGTGGAGATAACGACGACGAAGTCACACGCGCCCACGAGCGAAGTCGCTTCGTGAAACTCGAGACACCTCGTGGCGGGTCGAGGGGGCAGCCGGAAACGAGGGTCTCTCTTACCACGGATGCGAGCAGGAGGAGCTTCATGTTGACCGTGTGGTGTATGGACGATGAGTCGAGCATCTGCCCGAAGACATGTCGACCTTTTATACCGCAGAGCCGAATCCTCCCCGCCGGATCGCGCGTGTCGCAATCCGGTGGCATTGGCAGAACTAGATTTTTTAATTGACTCCACCTGACTGTTGAGACCGGCGTCTTCTTTCCTGACCACAGAGGAGGTGGTGGTGGTGGAGGTGGCGACGGTGGACGAGAGGGAGGAGGAGTAGGAAGAAAGAGAAGACGAAGAAGCGCAGGTGAGGCAAGTGAGCAAGGGTGGAGAAGGAGGAAGGGGAGAGGCCCGTCGAAATTTCTGAATAGAGAATAGTCGCGCTTATGAATCGTCACCGCTGTCCATTGTCCTCGACGTCGTCACCCGGTTGTAGTCTCTGTCCGGCGAAACGTCGCCTCCTCGACGAACGTTTCACTTTCGACCGCGTGTGATCCGCGGAAACGACGACGTACGACGGTAATTTATGCCCATCGAGAGCGGATGAGTCAATCGAGCGGGTTTTTCCACGTCCCTCGACCGATCTTTCCGCTTTGCCCTCGCAAGGGTCGCGAACGCGAAGCAGTAGTTGCGCGACGCGCCGCTGCCGTGAGGGTTTCGAGTGGATCTGAAACAGATGTGAAATTCAACGGTTTTCTTCTTGAAATTATGGTGATTCGATGAATGAAACGAGCCTCATTGTCGGTTTTTATTTTTAAGGGGATCCTAATGGGAATTTATCGTTAACAAAGGGAGCAGGGTTGAAATTTATTTTCAGGGGCTTGCAAAAGTTCGTCGCACTGGATTTCATTGGCACAAAGATGGGATCATTTTATAGAGGTGGAATCTCAATTATCTGAAAGATAGTAGATAGTGGTAGATAAGTATTCAGTGCGTAAAATGAGTGTTATCGTTGGTTTTATTTTTAAGAAGCCGGACGGAAATTAATTAAGAGAATGTAGGCGGTTGAAATTAAAATTTGTCGTTAGAACAAAAGTTGGATTGCAATGGATATCATTGGCTCAAAAATAAGATTACTTTATAGACACGCGATCAATTATGTAAAGAGTGGTAGAAAATGCTGAATGACGATTCAACACACGATGAAGCGAGCATCATTGGTAGTTTTATTTTTAAGAAACTGGTCGGAAAATTATTATTTTAAAGCGGAGGCAATTCAGATTGTAATTGATTATTGTGGCAAAAGCTAGTCGGAACGCAGTGGGTTTCGCCAAAGGGAATTTCATTATTGTATTTCATCCGAGATAAAATATTTTTATCGACACTTTACCAGAAAATTATCTGAAAGATCGTAAGAAAATTAAGAGTATAAACATTGATCTGGCTAAACATCTAACTAATTTTCACAAGTCCCTGATAATTATGCAAGTGCAACGCGGAATTTTTATCGACACGGAGCTTCGTGCTTTCATCAATTCCGCGTTTCTGTTCTGATCGGCTCTTTCTTTCCTAATCACGATTTTCTGTCAATTTTCTGGAAATTGATATATTTTTATGTATCTTTTCTCTTTGATTTTTTCGAAATTACTTTTGCAGGATCTTTGGACACTGCGAGAAATTCGTCGGGAATCGGACTAACCGCGATCAATACCGGTTTCAGTTTTCTGCCGGTTCTTCGTCCTCAAACAGACTCGCATATTACCGATTACAACACGACGCGTGGGAGGCTTTTAAAGGATCGGCGATAACGCACGGCGGATTCCGCTCTTACGAGCAAGATTTTAATGGCTCGTCGATCGGCGTGATCGACTCACCCGCGTGTTTCGATCGGGCCGCGATTTCGGCGTTATCCCTTCGAAGACACGCTGATGCGTTTTCCTTGTCGAGCATATGTACGACGCTCTTTAACCGACGTATTTTAATTCGTCCGTCGCGCTCTCCGAGGCCGGTTACCGGTATTTTCGAGCATCTTATATACGCGGCTGTGTGATTAGCCCATTGGCCGCAAAGAGCATTGACGAATTGATATGATTAACGACCTACCGAATAACCGGCTCGCCTCTTTGGTAAGCGGACAGACATAAATTTCGCGGAGGAGCAAGAGAGAGAGAGAGAGGGAGAGAAAAGAGACTTTCGGGAGTGAACGAGAGGAACCGTAAAGCGCGCGTAAACATCTTCTTCTCGTCTCTCTTCACAAATCTTTCCAAACTTCGCGTGAGAGCAATTGAAGTTAATCATTAATTCGGCGAAGTGCATCGCAATCTTCGCGCACGGCAATGCAATTAATCGGCAACGGAAGAGAATTCTCGTCGGTGCGCGAGGACGAAGAAACGATCCGATCTGAAAGAAGGTGCGAACTCTCGCTTCGTTGGAATACGATTGATTTTCTTAATGAGACCTCGTTTCACGCAGCGACCCACATGGGCATTCGCGAATTCGTCAAAATGTCGCGAGACAAGGTCATTGCTTATAAATCGGCTATTAAAGCGCCTCGGTGACTTTTAGATGCCGAGCGTTTCTTGTGCAATATGCACAAAACGAGTATGCCCTTAATGCGCGTCGCGTTCGACGGGATATCTTTTGTAGGCCATCCTGTTTTACATCGTATATCTTACCCTTTAACTTATATACTTTATATAACAAGGTATTTCTAAATTTATATTTATAAGTGGATAAATAATTCGTACAAAGACTGTAATTTATATCACATTCTTTTCTACATACACAACAATTTTAAGAAATAATTAAAATAGTTTAATTATTGTAGCTTAACATAATGTTATTTAATTAATTTTATTTAGGTTATTATTATTTTAGCTTAATAATATCTAGCTTAATTTTAGCTTAATAAATATCTAAACATAATTATAACTATTTAACTAACTTATGTAATTATATTAATTTATGGCATAATATAATTACTTAAATATAATTAACTAGACTTATAAGTAACAAACAATAATTATAACTCACAAATAAAGGATTAATTAAATAAACGTGTAATTAACTTAATAAGCAGTAAAAATAATAATAAGTTAACTAATCAATCAAAAAATAATATTGTTTATTAAAAAAAAATTTAGCCCCTTCAATATCCTTGCTGTCTTTTTTAAAATTTCTAACTTTCTTCCTCGCTCTTTTTCTCTTCGTCGATTTATTTCATCCCCGTCTTGACAAGTCGACATAAGAGGATTTTTATTTGTCACAGATGTGTACGACGCGAGGGATGCGTCGAATCCTGAGCGAAAGTTTCGCATCGTAGCGGAACGTATCGATTTCGGTCGCTCCACGTAAACGCGTGTTCCGGATGCGGTGCATCTGCATAAATTCGCCCGGAAGCGGGCGTGAGAGTGTGCAGCCCGCACATTCGGGGTGGTCCGTTTTCTCGGATGGCGAGTGAAAACAAGATGACAAGTCGAGATCGCGCCATGCGCTAATCGCTGTGACGCCCTCGGACCCACCTCGAGAATCCGAAAGCGAACGACGTAAAAAGCTCATTTTCGGCATTCGATCCGTCGTCGTCTCGATCAGATTTACCAACATAATAATTTCCTCATTAATACAAATTAACTATTATTGGGGTTTATTTAAATTTAAAATGTTGCGAATCTCTATCACCTCTACTATCTCTCTTTTCCCCTCTATAAATGATTCATTGACCCACAGATCTATAATTCGCCACGGAATTCTATCGTGGAATTTTATCTCATGGTTTCACGCGTCGAGTAAACGTGATTATTCTACATTAATTAAGGACGCTATCGTTATTGAGTTTGGTAATTTAATGCGTGTTGTGGTTATTGATATTCCCTTCGTTTCTCCGAACACGGAGATTTCAACTTTAGAAACTGATCTCGCCTCTCTCTTTTTCTCTCTCTTCCTCTCTCTTTCTCTCTTTCTTTCTCTTTGTCTAACTTTGTTATAATTACAATATAATAACAACGGTATTTTAATAAAATTAATAAACATTAATAATTTATAAATAATTGATAAAAATAATTATAATTATACCTACTAATATTTGCAATAATTCGTTATCAATAAAAGTTGTGTCTAATTTACATTCTCCAAAGTTCGATTCAATTTTGAAGTCAAATTTTACGTTATCGAATTCAATGGAAAAAAATTGTTTGTTAATCAAGTAATTGTGGTGGTCAATTTCAATCAGAATATAATACATTGATATTATCAGTACTGTTGTATGTGTTACATGTATGTGATGTTATCCATTGAAAATGAAACCGAACTTGACTGACTCGACATATGGAATGTTTCGGGTCCCGTCGCAAATTATATAAGTCATTCGAAATTGACTTAATAGAAGGACGGAAAGGTAACAGCATTTTTCGGGAAGATCGGCGCAGCCGATGTGCAGCCGCGAGGCAAAAGATTCGACACGTGCCCACTAATTGATCGTCAACAAATTCGAGAGAGAGCGTGGATTTGGGCGTGAGTCTGCAGTAGCCAAGTAATCGCATTAATCCGAGGTCTCGGCATATTTTTGTATTTATTACTCGCCACGCGCTGAGAACGGTTCTAACGTAAATCAATACATCTAGTTGCTCAATCGATCAAGTTTACCGGCTGTTAATCTATCGCTTTCTTCGCTGTTTAATCGCTGCTTCGTCCTGCAATTTGTATTATTTTTTTATCTTACTTTATATGAGAAATACAAAATTGAGAAACATAAGGCAGAAGAATGTAAATTCATAAAAGACAAGTCTGAGAAAACAACTTGAGTAACACAAATTTGAGAATTGTTAATTTTGAACGCATAAATCTGAGAAATAAAAGTCTAAGAAACACAAATTTAAAAAATACAAATCTAAGAAAGACAAATCTGAGAAAAAGAATCCTGAGAAACACAAATTCAAGGAATACAAATCTTATGTGTGGGTGCATAAATCTGAGAAACAAAAATCTGAAAAATACAAGTTTGAGAAAGAAAAATCCGAGAAACAAATTCGAGAAGCACAAATCTAAGAAGCACAAATTTGAGAAACGCAAATTTGAGGAATGCAAATCAAAATATTACAAATTTAAGAAATGCAGAAGTAAAGAAAAACAAAAATTTAATGTAACTTTTTTCTGCGTATTTTGAAGAAAAGGAAAGAGAGAATGGACGAAAAAATATCACAAAAGGATACATCGCAGCAGGAGACTCGCTTCTCTTTTGCAACACATTATCCCCCGAAGTAAGATCACGACTTTACGACGACGGCAACCTCTTCCACTTTGCTTCTTTTATTTGCGGAGGAGTTCGTCCGCACAACTCCAGGAGATCTTCGTTCGTAATCGAAAGTCGTTTACCTTATTTGCAGGGCGAAAAGAAAATCGGGCGTCTCGAGATGAATTAGAGGTCGGTCGCTCCGCGCGACTTGCACAACACATGCGCGGGTGCCCAGCCACGTGTGCGAATTAATTTCTCGCCGCTGTTTCGTCGCGTTTACATGCGAGAACGGGTGATCCTGATAGCGGGGATAGCGATGATCGAATCATTTTGGCGTTTTACGACGCTTTTCTCTCTCTATCTATCTATCTATTTAAATATCTCTTTTTCTTTCTCTTTCTCTCTCTCCGATGCGATCGCACGATCGAGAAACGCCGAGGCTAATCACGCAACCTTGGCGGCTAGTTAAAGTAGCCCCAGCCAGAACTTCGTAATATTTTGATCTGGTCAGACCCGTTCGTCGAAAAAACCGAAAAGAGAAAAAAGATTACGGTACTCTCTCATCTTGTTCCTGGCTGCGGATCGAGCTGCGCGGGGATAAATCGCGTCATCGGGACGTCGCTCTCGTACGAATTGCACAATTCATTCGATCCGACCGCTATCTGAAATCTCGACGAAAGACCGTCAGAAAAGTCTTTCATCCTCGCCCGATTCGAATCATTCTGGACATCGATGTCCAGAATGATTTCCTACTATTTTATGCTTAATTTATACTTATTAGGATGCATCTTGTTATGAGAGTATACAGGGAAAAAGATTTTTTTGGATTTAACAAGATTTTTTTAATCGAAACAAACAACTTGTCTTTTAGCACGGGACGAACAAACGAACATTAAATTCGACAAATAGGAATGTTTGGCTTCTTAAACAATAAATATTTTTACGTTAAATAACATTTCTTTTGTGCTTTCATCCAAGCAGTACAATGGTTGTCACAAGCGATAAATTATTCGTAAGAAGTAATATTATGTTGGAAAAAGAACCCCTTCATTTCAGTTTCCCATATTTACGCGAACTTTACATTCGATAAAATAGAAAATGAAAGTTACATAGTCTGATCAAATATTCTTTAACTATCTCACACATTAAATAAAGTTGATAATAAAAAATGACAGGGAACTGAATGAAAAGAATATAAATTTAAATAGAATCAATTTCACGTCATAATTATCATATCAATTATTGTATATAGAATTAATTATTACTATTATACATAATAACGTTTAAATTAATTCTAAATCATGTTTTTACAGACATCACGCATCTGGTCAGAATCTCTGCAGAACTTCCATGATTTTTTCGAGAAGTTAGACGAGATCCCAATTAGACTTCAGGAAATTACTTATGCAGAAGGAAAAGTTCCATTCCGCTTCCGAGATATTTGATATTTGGGATATTAATATTCATATGTTCACCGTTACATCTTCAAGATTCACGTTCGTGATCGTTGCATAAGTTTACGCCGCGGACAATTCGTTACACGGCAGTTCGCGTGCATCTGTGAAAGTGTTAAGAGGGACATTTCTGTGCGCGTATGTAAATCATCGAGATTGCGAGAAATCGCAATCATCGTTTCCTCCTCCCCGTCGTCGTTGTCGTCGGCCGAATCGGACGCATAATGAGGCGAGTTGCAAAAAGGAAGAAAAATTAAAAACTGGGTTGTGCAAGGCGCGCTCGGCCACTTTAGCCGCGACACAACCGGGATTTATCGCGGCGGCGGCGGCGATTAATCGCGTAGAAATTGTCGTGTCCAGCTTTGTTCGCCGGGCGGGATTCGCGGCTCGTGTACTTTCACATTTGAATTGAAATTTTTCAGAGCTTTTGTCTATGCATACGGCGGAACGCCTCCGCGATGCGTCTGACGCGCGAGAATAGCGAGCGGCCCGGCGAAATCGCACTCTTCCGTCGCGCGCGATCGATTGTGATCCGACAGTATCGAAATATGAAAGTTTCACGTTGTACATACGGATTATATATCGATATTACAACGAACGGCGTTTTTCATTTTAACAAAATAGAAAATTTGTTCCGATGGTTCCTGCGTTTATCTAAAAAGCGTTCCAATTTATTGGCTTTTTCTTCGGCTGCGCTTCACTTTTCTTAGATGTCGTCTGGGAACACCCACATACTCGATCGTCGCTTGTTTTCCGATTCATAACAGTAAATCCATAATTAGTCACCTGTTACGATGTCATACATTGTTTTGGACCGATCGTGATCGTATTTTTCGGGCATTTTTTGCTCCATTTGACATGCGCCTTTTCTTGGGCTTCCTTTGAATTGCGCAGTATTCAATGAGCACACAGCTTTCTGACGTCAAGATGATCATCGTCATGTAGAATTGTTTTGATTTGAATCGTATCAATGCCTAGGGACGCCTTAATTTCTCTGTAAGTGATGGTCTTCCTGCAGCAAGTTGTACATAGCATCAACGTTCTCTGGAATGACCGTCGTGGTACGATGACGGCCTTCACACGATTCGCCACTGATCTTTACTTGACCACGCTTAAAATTTCTGTCCCGATCATAAACAGTTTTTTAGGAACAGTACTTTATCGCTAAAACCCGAACAAAGACTTTCGACGCGCTGTAGAGGAGTTAACGGCTTCTTAAAGTCGCAGAAAAACATAATTAAAATTTTTGTGTTAAACTTTTCAGACATTCATGTATTAATTTAACATATCGTGTTTTGGTTATTTTAACATTTTGTGTTGTGCTAATATTCAACGTGTGTAAGCGTTAAAATAATACATTTTATACTTCAGTGGCGATTAACATACTGATTTTGTGTTAACTTTCGACATAATATTTGTATTACATTTCAACATATTCATCTTGTGCTAAATTAACAGAAAGATTTGTGTGGACCGTTTGAAACATGTGAAATGTGTTAAAATTAAGACAAAAATTGTTTACTGCCTAAGATAAACTTATCACATTATTTAATAAATTAGGAATATATATTGTCGATTACCCGTCATTATTACTTGTAATATGTGAGTTACATTGATTAACATTGAAGATTACAAGAATTTGATTATGACCTTTTTTTGTATTCAAACTTTTCTCGTCTTTCTTTCTTATCTCCTTCTTTTCTTGTAATTTTACTTGTTTATTATTCTTCTTTATATTTATTTACTTATTATTATGTTCTGTTTCTTTATTGTCTGTTTATTCTATCATATACTATCCGCATATTCTATCATATACAATGCCATTATAGAATTAATTTTGTAATTAAGAGAACGATTTTCTTTAATAAATGGGAAAAATAATAATATTAATTTTTATACCGCTTGTAGAAATATAACAAGAAAACTGCAATATATTAACACTATTATTAATAATCATTTATCAAAATTATTTATCATAAATCAACAAATCTGATCGCATAAGAGATGAAATCTCTCACAAAATGTTATATTACAGTTGAACGGAGTTAATAAAGATGGAAAAATTTTGTATGTTTTTTATAAATCGTTATCAGGATTGTGGTGCCATCTATGCAGATAACATAGCAAACGTTCCGCCTGTGTAAGTGTTTCTCGCGATACACCGGTGAATTAATACCGCATGTTGTCAGGAGAACCAAATTAAACTGAAGAGGAATTATTGTAAAATAATAAATGATAAAACATTATCCGCTTTCTCTCAAATTTCATATTTGAATGATTAAATTTGTCCCACTGCCCAATTCTTAAAATCATCATCTCTATATTGTTTTAATCTAATAATATAATAAATACACCTTCCAAAAACCGTAAAACTAGAAGAATAACAACATGAAGAAATTCTTAGTTAATCGTAATTAAAATCAATAGAAATTGTTAATTAATTGTAATTAATATTAATTATTTGTCTCTGAATTAAAAACTGGAAAGTACATCGTAATTGCTGTAATTCTCAGATTTAATGAAGAATCGTTCAATCATTTTTCCTCGCTGTTACGTCTCTCATTCTACCGTTCAAGAAAAATCGTATCAGTCGGGGGCCGATTTGATAATCGGTTTTTGAATTGTGCATTCGCAACACGTAATTTGCAAGACGCATAATTTACGGCGTCAAACGAGCAAGAAAGCATCTCGATAAAACAGGCTGGACGCTATTAATACTACCCGCAGCGTGGTAGCGCAGCTTTTCGATGCGCGACGGCAAAACTGGAATTTGCGGTTTGCGGTGAAAGCGCCGATCAATCTGACGACCCCCTCAAACCACTCAAAAATATGTATGAACGTATATAAGGTGTCTCGTAATTTCGCGATCTTCGTTTCAGTACGAGTGACATCTGTGACCGATTTTTCCTCAAAATTCGGCAATTTTGCAAAAAAATCCGAATTATGAGAGATTGTCGGAAAGAAAGAAAGATTCTGATTCTTAAGTTGAAAATCTGAATATCAGAAAAGACAAATAGACAACGAGATCTCTCGTTGAAATCGTTGCAAATTGCAATTACATACTGTATGTGATATCGGACTATGAAATAGAACAGATCTCGTTTACGCTGTCGCACGTGCACGTTACGTCTTAAGTCAGCTGCTCCTTGTGCGAAAAATATCGCGTTAGTTTTATAAGATAATTATGGGACGCGGCCTTCGTTGAATTTCCGGTTCCATTGGAAAATCCTCGTTGACGTGAAAGTTCGCGCTCGCTGCGCCCACCGAGCGATTCATACGATTGAACCGTACATAGTAAAAAACTTATATATTAAATCGTCCATCTATATTTTTGTGTCCAATTAACAATTTAAACATGTTAAAAAATAATATGTTATAACAAGGTGAATATGTTAATTTAATATATGTATATTTCGTAACATATATATATATATATAAATGTATATTAAAGATTTGTTAGAAAAAATATATAGTAAAAATAGTGATTTCGTTTTAAAACGTTCTTATATATATCATATTCTTTATTCCTTTTATCGTGTGTTAAATTATAACCTATTTATAATCTCTTATTCCTATTTCTCTGCATTTAATTCTATGTTCCTCATTCTTTTCATTATGTCTGATTTCTATTACTTACGACATCATTTATTGAAAATATCGAACCGAAATTTTTGACTGAACTGAATATTTCGTTAAAAATGACGCGTCCAACGTAAAAACATTTTTCAGGGAACCAAAGAACTTTTTCATCTCGAGCTCTCCGATTTACATGATTATTAAAACAATGTAATTTATATGATAATCACACCAGTGTGCCTCAAGAACGATAAAATTTTAATAGAAAATTCCGACGAGTTAATAACACTTTTTTTCTCGTCGAGTTTTCGAACGTTGCGACCAGATTTTTTATCCCACGCCATGCGCCGTCAGTGGTTCATCAGCGTTCGTCAGCCGGGGTAATTATCTGTTGCAGTACTCGCCTTTCGAGTCGTCCTTCGATTTGTACATTTTGCATTTCTGCTCCTTTCTCCGACTTCGCTGAAAAATTGCCCCGCGCAAAAATCTGCTTCTATGTTATTTGTGTTCGGTCACGTGTTCGGGCGGGTGAAGGTGCCGCGGAAGTGGGAGCACCTTTTCTTCACGTTCACTTCCGCATCCGCCATGGTCTTAAACAGCCAGGAGCTTAATCTACGATGTTATCGCAAATTGAATTCTGGCTAGTTTCTCGAACCGTTCGTTTTCGAACTGTCATCGAGTTCCCATTCAGATGATCTCTGGCTGGTGTTCGGGAAAATTGTAAATTCGCAATACTCATTTGTAGATGATCGTGTCCTGTTCATTATAATTTTTAACATTGTCGTCTGTGTTACATGTATGTGACACTATCTTGATTGAAAATCGAACTTGACATTTTATTCAAATACAACGCATTCACGTAGAAATTTTTTCCAGACACACAAAATAATCCTTTGACCTCAAGCTCCAATTAACACATAGTTATTAAAATAACATAATTTATTCAAGTATGTGATAGCATAATTAACTCTTCCATTTTTAACTCTCTTTATCTTTTCATAATTTACTTTTTATTTCTCATTGATTGTATATTAATATTCATATGTTGACACATGTTTCACACTGATTATTCTGTCTGTCCGTCTGCTGTTATCACACTATAATTTTGTACACTAAAGAGTTCACCCTAAGAGTTTATCCCGTTAATAAAGAGATTATTGCTATTATTAGTTTACATTTATGGACGGATTCTTCGAAACTTTCATCAAATTAAGAATCGTATCCCGTCCGCGAAGTTCCCGTGCACGAGCTTCAGATCGCCGATCGCCGATCGGCTCACTACGGAGAACAAAGGATCAATTATCGGTAATTCTGCGGTGCGGGATCTCTCTCGCGGCGATTTTATCGAAGCTCCCGCGGGATCGAGAGAGGTTCCGGTAACGAGGACAAAAACCGGTTCAGCGCACAAAGGCAAAAGTAAAATTATTTGCGCGATCCTCTCTTTCTCCTCTCACTTTCAATGAAAGTCGGCGAATCCGTGCCCGGCTGGCTAACAATAATACCGCGCGCCACGCTTGAATCGGGAATTAACGCGTTTTTAATGAGCGTGCTCACATGAAGACGATCGCGTTCAGATTGGTGTGTGCGATCATGTAACGCAGAGACCCACGCCCGGGATCCACGCTCGAATCATTAGTGAAATTCGAGCCAGCGAGATTAACGCTAATTAATCTGTAATCGCGGGAGAGCTGCAGGCGCAAGCGGAATAGCGCGGATATGAGCGTTCAACTGCACACGTTCAATGCCCGTGCGAAATCTTAATTCCGCCGCTTCCACAGATCGGCGATCAGTTGACCCGCATTTCGCTCTGAATGCGAGAAACTAATTTCTGATTTTTAACGCAGCAGTGAATGGTGAACGGTGACGGTGCGGAGGAAAGCAAAAGCGGGGTGAACAGGTTGCTTTCCTTTATCATTTTTTTATTATCCTTATAACGCGATCACTTATCTCGAGTGAGATTAAAATTATCCGAACACACGCACAGTCACTGGAGAAAAAGTTGCAACATTTTTTTCTTCAATGAACTTTGCAACGAATCTGTATCTGACGAAAAATTTGTTTTTAGTAATTCTCAGAAAATATAATTTGCTAGTTACCTTCTCTAAGAGATAAATTGTTCATCTAGCTAAAAATATCTTAACCTTTTTGCCACTAACTGTACGTTAAATACGCAAGTTATTAAATAGAGGCAAGCAGATAATAGATGAGTTTGAATTGAATTGTGTTTTGATTTATAAATTACACAGATTAATTATTAAATGAATTAGAGAGAGAGAGAGAGAGAGAGAGAAACATAAGTAATCAAATAAGGATGTGACGAATATTACAGATAGAAATATGAGTTGTGACATATTGAGTGTACATATTTATTATACGTAGCAAAATTGGAATAATTGCTGTCGATATTGCATCAGAAACTGTAATCGAGGTTTATGTACGTCCAACACGTGAGCCGAAGGTATTAATTTATTTAACTCAAATTTTCCTCGCGTCTCTCTATTAGCCGATCTTGTTCTGATATTGCTGCGCGGTTTCAGCGGTTTGGATTTCACCCGCGGCTTTTGTTCCCATTCTTTCCTTTGTCTTTGTAATCTGAATCTAGTAACACAACCGTGCGATATAAATACACGCGCGGTTTTATCGAGAATTCTCACGGGAGAAAGCGCGAACCGGACTCGCGTGCTTATCATGGAAAAATGAAGTGAAGCAAAGCGCGAGGCGATTCAATCCGATGCCAGAATAAATATTAAAGTGTTTATATTCTCGATTAAGTCCCGTTAATAGACATAAATAAGGAAATGCTGAGACTTCCCGAAAACGCTAAATGATTCTGACATTTTTTTAGAAAACGTTTGCTATTTTCACAGAAAATTTCACATTGTTTGCTATTTTCACGGAAATAAATGTTACGATTTTGATAAATAATTTTCTTTCAATTTTCACGGATGATTTTTATATTTTTATGATTGTTTACAATTTACAATTGTACGATTTTGGTGACCGTCGTCGTGCGTCGTCGACTGACAATGAACTCGCGCCGAACAGACGCACCACCGACCGCGAATTTCGCCTTCGCGTAGCGAATGTATCGCGTCGGTGGAAGCGAACCTGATAAACTACAGATCGGTCCTGTTACTTTGTGAATTTCCGTCGCCTTTCTTCGGAGATAGTCCTTTCACTCTCGTTTCGCTGGCAAATCAGCGTCACACCTTTTGAGAAGTGCACCGTCGACCGTTATCCGTTCTCCACTATCTGGTATGTATTCGTTTCATGCGGAAATTGTGCGGCGAGTCGTGTTTCGAAATTATTTTACTTCCTATCCGTGAACGTTCCTGCGTCCGCTTACCCAGATTACCTAACGAGGAACTGCGATCGCCATGCAATTTTCGATGCAAAGGCGCTGGAAAATTTCTGTTTAAACTTTATATTTAGATGTTTATAAAGTTTAGCTCAATTTCATTGAGGAGAAACCATGTCGGTCAACCCACAAGGAAATCGGACTTATTACGTATGAAAAAAATTTAATGATTTTCGACACACACATACATTTATTTATTTTATCCGCTTTAATTTCGTTTTATGACTTATCTGCAATTATTTTGTACTCAATTTCATACGCTCTCTCTTTGTATATTTCTTTCTGACTACTGATGCTCACTTTCTTATTACATTTTATTGAGAAAAAAGATTAGTTGAATTAGTGTGACCATGAACGAGCGAGTAAACACGTTTTGATCGGAGGAAACAGGAGTTTTTGGCTTATATGAACCAAATTCAGCCTTAAAGCCAGAAGTTTTGCTTCCATCAACCAAAACGCGTTTCGTTCGTTCATGCACTGCGAATCCCAGTGTGTTATTTTAAACTAAAACTTTCCTTACACACCGTTTTCAATCACGTCATTTAACACGGCTGGACGTGTTAACTTGTAATTGTAAAAGCACGATTAAACATCTTAAGTGGCGTAACCTAAAACGGTGAGCAACATGTGCAAAAAACTTCAGTCAAACGTCTCATTTTTAGATTTAGTTTACGCGTATAAAAGTAGCACGTTTAAATTTGCAATATAGTCGCGTTAATTCAAAGGATCTCTCTTCTCCGAGTTCCTTTTTACCTCGTACTTTCTCTTTTGCGCGACGACCCACCGTACTTTTTCCGTACTCGTATATTCCGATAACGCGTTACCCCAGACACATGATAGATCACTTTCCCGTCTCGCATCACTCTGCTGTCTTTCTCCAAATGAAAATTCGTTATTACACAAATAGATTCGAACGATCAGCCAGGTCAGCAGTAATTCGCGCCGATCCTCGCGGGATGCGATCTCTCGGCGAGGGTGTGCCTCCTCTCGTGACCGCGAACGGCCGATCTCGCCGGCCGGCCGGCCCGTCGGGACCTTTTACCAGCAGCCTTCTCCCCGTCGTGCCGCCGGGCCCACCGGGGTTCGACGAACCTGCGAGTTAGCGCTCGGAGAGGAGTACTAATCGCAAAAAGGAACGACAGAAAAAGCCGGAGAAGATGGGGACGACGAGATCGGGCGAACGTGAGGCTAGTCGGAAAGAGAGCGAACGAGCGAGTGCTTTCTTCGAGTGTGCCCCGATCACGGTGAAGGTCCTCGTATATAAGCGACCGTAGACGCTTCTACAATAGTCAGTGCGGCTCGTCTCATTGGAAACCACCATCGGAGCCCGATCCCGCACACATCGCAGCGCGAGATGATCGCATTACGAGTTGTAAGTCACCGCCTTGTCCGCGAGGCCACCGTCCGCGAAATCGATCCGTCGCGCCTCGGAGAACCCGCGTCGCTCGCTCAAAAGCTTAAGGACTGCGATCGTAGCGGCGATCTCCAATCCTCCCTTCGAGTGATCGGGCGCGTCCGATGTCGGTTCTGTGATGGAACGTGGCCGGGAATGAGGTGACACGTATCTCCCGACGGCTCGAGATCGCGAGAACGCGCGCCGGATCAAGGTTTCGACCGCGAACGCTCGAATCTACCGCCGGCTGTGCCGAGATCTGCGAGGACGGACGATCCGTGGATTGTGGACTGTGATCGAAATTTCGGCCGCTCAAGAACACTCGCTTGGTCGCCCAATAGCTTGGTGACGTTTTCACTGAACAGTTGACAACTCTTGGGTGTTAATATCTTTTGCTCGGCGATCCAGACTTTGTTAGGATGATATTTATACGCTTAGTCAAGGTTGGCTAATAAGCAGTTGTTCGGTTAAAAGTGAATAACTTTTAACTTAACTTGGTTAATTTTCAATGAGTTAACTTTTAACTTGAACTAATTAGCGTAAAAAATACGTTAACTTTAACTTATTTACATTTTCTTAGGTATGAATTAAAATAACTCGTCAATATTAAAATCATTGCGCCCGGGCTGCTTACAATATAGAATAAGAAAAATAAAAAACAATGCCAGTAGAATCTCTCTTTGAGCACTTTGTCTCTTTGAGCACTAGTATAATTTCTTTTTGTACGGAATCTTGAACACGAAACGTCGATATTTTCTTATGACAGACCACTTTTTCTTTTATTCGGCATAAATTCAACCTACGATTGAAAAGTCAGTTTTGCTAAAAAGCATATATATATATATATATATATATATATATATATATAT